GCCATGCCTCTGGGCGCAGTCTCCACAGGCAGTGCCCCGGGACACTTCGGGGCCGCGCACAGAGGGGCGGCCAAGCCAGGGTCCCACTAAGGTGGCCCAAAACCCACAGTCAGGCCCCAAATGCCTTGGCGACCCAGGCCAGACGTGGCATCGCCGTCAGGCAGACGGAAGGAGGAAGGAGGGTTCTGGCCCTTAGAGCACCACCGATCCTGCAAGGTGACACAGGAGAGTGGGGTGCGGAGACACGCACAAAGTAGCTCCTGGCAACAGTCAGCACCTGCCTGCCACGCAGGGACAACCACAGCTCTCAAGGCCAGCCCTGCCCTTACAAGCCCTCCGGCTGATGCCAACAAGTGTGGCAGCCCCTCCTCCACCCCCTTCTTCTCGATGGACACAGGACAACAGGAATCCACCACAGCCTCACACACCTCCTCCAGGTCAGGGAGCTACCGGAGGCTCAAGCTCATCCCTGCCATCTCCACACGCCCCCTCCGCACAGGTCCAGAACGCCCAGCCTGACCAGGAGATCAGCGGCAGCTAGGAGCACCCTCACTTCCTGCACAAGGCCCCCTCCCCCAGGCCACAAAGACCTGGCCTTAGGAGCTGGGAGAGGCTTCGGGAGAAATTCTATTAGTGCCCCTTGTGACAGAAAGGTATCTGCCCAGGTCCTGCAGTGTGCCCGGCCTGACAAAGGGTCCTCACCTGGGCCCAAACCCCAGGGGCTGTGTCATGACACTATAGGGGCCAGGGCCATCGCTCCTCAGACCCCACCTGGGGGGTGCCACACCATGGGGAAGGTGGGGCCTGGCCCTACTGGAAGGAGTGAGGGTGACAACCGAGACTCATGAAATCAGGCACCACCAACACCTGGCACTCCCGGAGGACGGGCACTCCTTCCTGAGAGGTGCTGGAGCCCACGTCCAGGGACCGGGGCAGCCTCTGCAGTGGCTTCAGGACAGGCGCATGTAGCACAGGCCGAGGCTGCGTGGGCTCAGGAAGCTCATTAAAAAGCAGCCTATCCAGTGGCACCGAGGAGGAACCAAGATGGTGGCATAGGTAAATGCCTAACTGCAGCCTCGCACAACAATTTCAAAAAAAAAAAAAATACAACTAAAATACAAAATGGACATTATCTAGAACTACAGGAAAATTGAGACTGGAAATTCTACAACTAGATGGAGAGAGAAAACCAGAAGGAAAATCAGAGGAGCTGTAAAAGCCTAAGGTACGGAGACATGGTGTGCATATGCAGAGAGGATGGAGCTGGTGGAGAGGGCGGGGATGAGTGTCTGCTTGGTGTTCCCTAATGGGAAGGAGATAAAAGCTCCGGACTGTGTTGAGCCCCAATTCCGACTGCACTGAACGCCAGTTCTAGGCCAGACCCTGGGGACCCAAGCTCATACAGAGAGAATCTGGGCTGTAAGGCAGAAACTCAGGGGAACGGCGAAAGGCAGAGCCCTGGAGGCATGAATGTTGCACGCAGAGGACGGACTGTTGACTGTGCCACTGGATTGCCCTAGTGGGAAGGAGACAAAAGCTCCGGACTGCACTGAACCCCACTTCCAACTGCACTGAACCCCAGTTGCAGGTTCATTGAGGGAGAGACTAGACTGTCAGGTAGTGGGCGAAACTTGAGGGCACCTTTCTCTCAGAGCGAGTACCGAAGGACAATGAGGAACACTGAGACTCAGGAACCTCATAGGGTGGGGCTGATGGGAAGCCAAGGCTATAGGCTCCAACCTGAAACTCCGTCCCATCCAAGCTGAGAGTAGAGGCTTTTGCAATTTCCCAAGTCTAGTCAGATAAGGCTGTCTTCGGCATAGACACAGCTGATCCTCACAGCCAATTGGCCTGGAGGTCAGTTCTACCCAGTGATACCAACAATAATCAAGACTTAACTACAAGACGGTACACACAGTCCACAAAGGGGTGCACCAAGAGTGTCCACCTCAGGTAACTGGGAGGCTGACCCACACAACCATATAGGACACCTTAGCACACAAAGCCACTCTATCAACTCAGGGAAGCTGTGAAAATGCCGAGATAAGCAAACAGATCACAAACGAGAGAAATGAAGGACAACAAGCGACTGGATACAGAGTTCAAAACCACGCTTATAAGGTTTTTCAAGAATTTCCTAGAAAAGGCAGATAAAATAAACAAGACCTATGAGGATATGAAAAGGGATCAACTAGAAATAAAAAATACATTGTCTGAAATAAAAAATATTATACAGAGTCCTAAAAACAAAATGGAAGATCGCAAGAATCAAGTCAAAGATTTGGAACATAAAGAGCCAGAAGACACTCCTCCACAGAAGCAAGAAGACAAGAGAATTCAGAAAGTTGAAGACAACTTCAAGTGAACCAACATCAGAAGGGTCCCAGAAGAAGAAAGAGAGCAAGATACTGAAAACATAATGGAAGAAATAGTGACAGAAAACTTCTCCCACTTGATGAAAGAAATAGACTTACAAGTGCAGGAAGCGCACAGAACTCCAAATAAAAGGAATCCTAAGAAGACCACACCAAGACACATCATAATTAAAATGCCAAGAGCAAAAGACAAAGAGAGAATATTAAAAGCAGCAAGAGAAAAGCAGGTAGTTACCTATAAAGGAGCACCCATATGATTGTCAGCTGATTTCTCAACAGAAATCATGCAGGGCAGACGGGAATGGCAAGAAATATTCAAGGTGATGAATAGCAAGAACCTACAGCCAAAAATACTCTACCCAGCAAAGCTATCAGTCAGAATCGAAGGTCAGATAGAGCTTCACAAATAAAAAAAAGCTAAAGGAGTTCATTACCACCAAACCAGAATTATATGAATTGCTGAAGGGGTTTTTTTAAGAAGAGGAAGAAGATAAAGATAAAAACTATGAACAACAGATACATAACTATCAACAAGTGAATCTAACAACCAAGGAAATTAAAAAACCTGATGAACAATATTAACTGGTGACTATAATAGAATCAGAGGTATGGAAGGGGAGTGGACTGACGATTCTTGGGGAAAAGGGGAGAGAGGTGTGTGGGAAGAGACTGAACATAAACTGTGCACCTATGGATGAGGACAATGGGGGGTGGGGAAAGGGCAGAGGGTGGGGTGGGAACCTGATGGAGGGGAGCAATGGAGGGGGGAAAAATGAACATTTGTAATAATATAAACAATAAAGATTTATTATAAAAAAAAAAAAAAGCAGCCTATCTCATTCCTGATCAGAAATGAAGAGCCAAGGCAAAGCTGTCACCTGCGTGGTGGCACAGATCGCTCCGCGTGGACCACAGAGCAGGGCCTCCGGCACCTGAAGCCCCCTCCACAGGCTGATGCCGCTCAGCAATTAAGGGGTGTGTGTGTGTGTGGGAGGGGGGCCAGGGGGGTGGCTGGCAGCCCACCCCAGCAACAGGCATCTGGCTGACCAGGCTGGGCATTAATTTTCCATTCTTGTTACACACCCCCTGGTGGGGTGTGCAGCAATCAGCTCAGCCTGACCATCCCCCTTCTGTGTGAAGAGCCTGATCTCCTGTTCACCAGGACAAACTCCAAACCAAGGCTGGAACCTTCACCCTGTGGCCTGGGGAAATCCAGCTTCAGGAGGCGGGGCTACAGGAAGAAAACCTGGCTGCAAACTAGGGTCAAGGCCATCTGCTTGATTCAGGCCCTTGCTGTGCTTGCCAGCCAGCTCTGCACATGCTCCCCAAGGGGCTCTCGTAGTAACTCCCTTTGACAGACCAGCCCCCTCCTACCCATAGGGACATGCCTGCCTAGGGCCTAGGCCTACCTGGGTTGGGCAGTGCCCAGTTCCAGGGGCTTACAGCCCTCAGGCCGAGCTCAGTCTAGCACAGGGAGGATCAACCATGGGTGTGTGTGTGTGTGTGTGTGTGAGAGGGGAGGAGTGTGAGGGGAGGGAGAGGCTGGGGGGAAGGGTTGGGGGAAAGCAGGGGGTTGGGGGTATTAGGCCAGGAAAGTGCATCTGTGCAGAGCTGACCAAGTGTGAGCAGAAAGCCAAGCTCAAGGGCCCTGGATAGGTTGGTCTGTAAGGAGACCAGGAATGTTCTCTCAGGCTGAGAGCTGCTTTTTTGTAGGGGAGGGAGCAACACAGCCAAGGGAAAGGGGGAAGATATCCTGCCCCCAACTCCCACTAGCTTTAGGGCCCAATTCCCAACAGCCTGGGAAAGACCGGGGAAAGGAATGCAGGGTTGAGCAGGAGGAGCAGTGCATGGACACTGCTCAGCTCCACTGGACAGATGCCCGCCTCCCCCCCAGATCCGAGATCGCACCCTCCTGAGTGACAAAGAAAAGGTTCTCACCTGGGACCACCAGCCAGACCCCACCCAGCCGACTGCGCAGTCTGAGGCAAACGGAAGACAACCCACAGCCGGCAAAGCCTCCAGCCGGGCCTTTCCAGCCTACCCGGAGGAGCACAGAGCACCCACACCAACAAGGACCAGCAAGAATCCCGGCCTGAACACCCACAACCCAGCGCCGCCCTGGTGCATCCCCGGAGAGGTGCCCCCAACCTCCACAGGACAGGGGGTCCCAGGAAAGGTGCTGCACCGGCCCCTCCCAGCTCAGCTCCCCAACCTGGCTTTTGTTCCCCTTTCAGGCAAGCTCACACTGGGTTCGGGCCCAACTCTGCCCTGTCTGCGTCTTAGAGCCAGGCCGCACTCGGGCCTTTGTTCTTAGGGGCCCACCGGCAGGCAGCCCTCCCAGCCCCTGGAGGCAGGATGGGGGCCCACAGGGGTGGGGAGGTCTCCACGTCTCGCGTTAGCTTAGGGTGGGAGTGCCCGAAGAGGGCGCAGGAAAGCCACGCACCGGGTGGGAACACAGGCCCAGAATCGACTGTCCTGCCCCCGCGACCGAGGCCGACTCGGGCTCACCCGTGGGGGGCCCCGGTCCACACGGGGCGATGACCGGCGGGAGCCCAGGCAGGGCACGGCCCGTGGGCGAAGGGAGGAGCGAGCCGGGCGGCGGGGGAGCGGGGCCGGCGGGCTCACCTGGGCGCGCGCAGCGCGGCGGGGTCGCGGCGGTCCAGCACGCCGGGCACGCAGCTGGTGAGCTCGGTCCAGTCGGCGTGCAGCCCGCAGCTCCAGCCGGTGGAGAAGCGGGAGAAGAGCCAGGTCTCGCGGCGGTTGGGGCGGTAGCAGGTGCACTTCTTCTGGCCCGGCCGGCAGTCGCAGGGCACCTCGAGGCGCACGTTCTGCACGAGGTGGCGGCCGAAGGTGGTGCCGCCCGTCTTCTGGATGTGCAGGAACACGATCACGTCGTCGCCCTTCATGTCGAAGCGCAGCGAGCGCTCCAGCTCGCGCCGCGGGAAGAAGTACTTGCGCTCGTAGTGCGGGTCGGGCGTGGGGAAGAGGTCCAGGTCGTCGGGCGGCGCGCGGCCCGGGCCGCCGCGGCCCAGCCCGGGGCCCGCGTACTGGTAGAGGATGAGCATGAAGCACGCCGAGCCCGCCGCCACCAGCACGAACCGGCTGGCGCGCTCAACCATGGTCCCGCCGCGCCGCCGCCGCATGTGTCACCATCGCCGGCCGGGCGGCGGCCTGCGGGCGGGCGCTGCTCCCTCCGCCGCCGCGTCGGCCCCGCTCCGCTACTCCGCGCCCGAGTCGCGCGCAGAGCCTGGGGCCCCGGCCACGCGCGGCGCCATGACTGCTCTCCGCCGCCAGTCAACCCCGGCCGCCCCGGCTCAGCTCCCGCCGCCTCCGCCCGCCCCGCGGCCCTCACCGCCCGCGCCTAGCAGACTGCGCAGCCCTGCGCGCCCCGCCCCGCCCCCGCCGGGCGCCCCGCCCCGCCCCGCCGGGCGCCGCGCACTCCGCCCCGCCCCGGTCGCGCGCCCCGCCCCGCTCCCCCGCCGCGCGCACCGCCACGGCCCCCCGCCGCGCGCCCCGCCACGCCCCCGCCGCGCGCACCGCCCCGCCCCCGCCGCGCGCACCGCCACGCCCCCCCGCCGCGCGCACCGCCACGCCCCCGCCGCGCGCCGCGCGCCGCGCCCCGCCCCGCTCCTCCGGCCTCGGACCTCTCCGGCTGCCAGGGGTGGGAGCGCCTGCAGGGCGTGGCGGGAGCTGTGGCTCTGGGTGGGGGGGGCGGCGGCGGGCTGCGGGGAACCACGCCCCCTCCGGGAGGGGAGGGACCCGCCTGGGAGACCCGGGGCTCCCTTGCGGGGACCCGGCCGCGCGGGACCGCCCTCTGGGGAGACGCTGCGTGTCTGCGAGGCCCTCGGCCCTCCACGCAGTTCGTTCTTGGCGCGCATCTGGCCTCCGTGATTCTAACCTGACGGAAAAGCTGGAATAGTGGAGCCAATATTTACAAAATTGCGGAGTCCACAGAAGCCAGCGAGGCCCCCGCAGGTGCCTGCGGCCAGGCCTGCCGCTCCCCGCAGCCCCGAGGAAGGCGGCGGCGGCGGCGGCGGAGGGCCCGTGCGGGGGCTCCAGCCAGAGTCTCTGGGAGGGTCCAGCTGCCAGGCCTGGGCTCAGCTGCCCACACCGTCCCCTGCCGAGGGCCCTTGGCTTCCTTCTGTTGGGGTCCCTGAAAGCAGGGGGGGAGGGTGTGTGAGGTTTATTGTGTCAATGATACCTCAGGGACATTGTTAAAATCTATTAAATCACACCACAAACTCCTGGAAGCAAACCCAGAGAACTGGAACAATCACCCCTCACCCCAAACCCGTAAGACAGAGTTGATTGGACAGCCGCTGGGACAGAGCAGTGTCCTGAGCACAATGAGGACTCGGAGCTGGGGGGTGCCGCCTGCACCTGCGGTCAGGGACCCTCTGGGCTGCGTCCTGAGGGCAGCTCAGGCCGGGCAGAGCAGCCTTGGGCAGCCCAGCGTCTTGATCTGGATGACAATTCCCACCAACCGGTCAGTCAGGATGGAGGCTGCTCTTCCATGGGAACTACTACAGATGTGTCCTTCGGAGTGACTATGCGGCCATCCGGCAGAGAGGAACACGCGAAGGTCACATGGCTGCTGCTGGGCTCCCTCCCCACCCAGCCCCTCCCCCTCTCCACTCCAGCCCCTCCCCCACCACACCCCAGCCCCTCCACACACCTCCCCACCACACCCCCCTCCCCCTCTCCCCCCCACCCAACCGCCTCCCCCCTCCCCCTCCACACCCAAGCCCCTCCCCCTCTCCCCCACCCCACCCCCATCCCAGCCCCTCCCCCTCTCCCCCTCCCCCTCCCCACCCAGCCCCCTTCCACACCCTCCACATCTAGCCCCTCCCCCTCTCCACTCCAGCCCCTCCCCTCCACACCCCAGCCCCTCCATACCCTTCCCCACCACCCTCCCCCTCCCCCCTCCCCACCCCAGCCCCTCCCCCTCTCCCCCACCCCCACCCCACCCTAGCCCCTCCTCCTCCCCACCCCTCCCCACCACACCCCCCTCCCCCTTTCCCCCCACCCAACCGCCTCCCCCCTCCTCCCCACCCCAGCCCCTCCCCCTCTCCCGCACCCCACCCCACCCCAGCCCCTCCCCCTCTCCCCTTTCCCACCCCAGCCCCTCCCCCCTCCCCACCCCAGCCCCTCCCCCCTCCCCACCCCAGCCCCTCACCCCTCCCCACCCCTCCCCACCACACCCCCATCCCCCTCTCCCCCCACCCAACCGCCTCCCCCTCCCCCCTCCCCACCCAGCCCCTCCCCCTCCACGCCCCTCCCCCTCCCCCTCTCCTCCCTCCACACCCAGTCCCTCCCCCTCCACACCCTCCCCACCACACCCCTCCCCCCTCCCCACCCCAGCCCCTCCCCCTCTTCCCATCCTTCCCCACCACACCCCCCTCCCCCTCTCCCCCCAAGCCAACCACCTCCCCCCTCCCCCCTCCCCACCCTAGCCCTTCCCCCCCTCCCCACCCCTTCCCACCCCTCCCCACCCCTTCCCACCCCTCCCCACCCCCTCCCCACCGCCATCCGGCCCTGCCCACCACCTCACCACCGCCTCCCCGCCCGTCCCCTCCCCCTCCCCTCCGCCTCCCCACCCCCGCCCCGCCCTCACCCCTCCCCACCCCCTACCCGCACCCTCCGCCGCCGCTGCTCCCCGGACTCAGCGCCCCCCCCCTGCGGTGTGCTCTGGGGGGGCCCCCCTGCTCCCTCGGGGGCGGCAGGTCTCATGCTCAGAGGCCACCAGCGCGCCTGCAGCCCACCCAGCCCCCAACGTGGAGCGGCCATGCGTTCTGGCCGGACTCACAGGGAGCAGGGGGCAGGGGGCAGGGGGCAGAGGGCAGAGGGCAGAGGGAAGGGGGCAGAGGGCACTGGGCAGAGGCCAGAAGGCTGAGGGCAGAGGGCAGAGGGCACTGGGCAGAGGGCAGAGAGGGCAGAGGGCAGAGGGCAGTGGGCAGAGGGCAGAGGCCAGAGGGTAGAGGCCAGAGGGCAGTGGGCAGAGGGCAGAGGCCAGAGGCCAGAGGCCAGAGGGTAGAGGCCAGAGGGCAGTGGGCAGAGGGCAGAGGCCAGAGAGGGCAGAGGGCAGTGGGCAGAGGCCAGAGGCCAGAGGCCAGAGGTCACTGGGCAGAGGGCAGAGGGCAGAGGTCAGTGGGCAGAGGCCAGAGGGCACTGGGCATGAGGGGAGGGGTTGATGGTTTCCCTCAGCCCAGCCTGCATCCTCTCCAATCTGGAACATCCTCTCACAATCCAGGATTGCTGGCTCCCAACTGCTCGCCTGACTGCCTTCCTGATTGTCCCTAACTGCTTCTCCCTGCCGGCCTGATCACCCCCTAACCACTCCCGTGCCAGCCTGATTGATGTCTAACTGCTCCCCTGCCAGCCTGTTTGCCACCAACTTCTCTCCTCTGCTGGCCTGGTTTCCCCTGCAGTATTGATCACCCCCAACTGCCCTCCCTTGCAGGCCTGATCCCTCCCAACTGCCCTACCCTGCTGGCCATCTTATGGTGGCCATCTCATGTACACATGGGGGCAGGATCTTTGACTACATGGGGGAAGCCATCTTGTGTGTTGGAATGATGGTCAATCACTCTTTTATTAGATAGGACAGAGGCCTGGTGCATGGGTGGGGGCCAGCTGGTTTGCCCTGAAGGGTGTCCCGAATCAGGGTGGGGGTTCCCTTGGGTCGTGGGCGGCCTGGGCGAGGGGCCTGTGGTGGCTTGCAGGCCTGCCACGCCCCCATTGGGGTGGGGGTCCCCACTGGGGATGGTGCTGGCCTGGGCAAGGGGCTGAGGTAGTTTGCAGGCCAGCCACGCCCTGATGGGGTGAGGGTCCCTGCTGGGGTGCCTGGCCAGCCTGGGTGAGGGGCTGAGTGCCATTTGCAGGCCCCCACCTTTGGCGGTCAACCTAGGCAACCCAAGCCTCCTGCACACTCAGGCTAGCTCCTTGGTCACCGCCCACAAACCCCTCCAGTGGCTGGCCAGGGTGGGCAGGAAGCTTGGCTTCCTCGATCACTGGGGGCAACCCAAGTCTCCCGTCCACTCTGGCTGGTTCTGTGGCTGCCGCCATCTTTGTCACATAATTTGCAAATTCCCTCCTGATTGGCTGTGGGCGTCGCGGAGTGATGGTCAATTACTGTATTTCTTTCTTATCAGCATAGGTAATATTCCATTGTGTAAATGTACCACTGATTTCTTATCCACTCATCTGCTGATGGGCACTTGGGCTGTTTCCAGATCTTAGCTATTGTAAAACCACTGCTACGAACACAGGGGTGCATACATTCTTTCTGATTTGTGATTCAGGATTCTTAGCATATATTCCTCTAAGAGGGATTGCTGGGTCAAGAGGCACTTCCATTTTTAACTTTTTGAGGAAACTCCATGTTGTTTTCCATAATGGCTGAACCAATCTGCATTCCCACCAGCAGTGCACGAGAGTTCTCTTTTCTCCACATCCTTGCCACTTGCTGTTTGTTGATTTGTTGATGGAAGCCATTCTGACAGGTGTGAGGTGGTACCTAATTTTAGTTTTAATTTGCATCTCTCGAATATTTATTATTTCTTTTCTTCTACTTTCGGCTTTTTGTTTGTTTAACTTATTATCTTTAAGTTGTTATGATAGTTTATTAGAGCTGAAACGGGTTTGGCTCAGTGGCTGTGGACTGAAGGGTCCCAGGTTCGATTCTAGTCAAGGGCATGTACCTTGGTTGCGGGCACATCCCCAGTAGGGGGTGTGCAGGAGGCAGCTGGTCGATGATTCTCTTTCATGGATGTTTCTAGCTATCTATTCCTCTCCCTTCCTCTCTGTGAAAAAATCAATAAAATATATTTTAAAAATAGTTTATTAGAGCTTTTCTTGTTTTTCCCCTCTCAAGGCTATTTTTGCTGTGTCCCATAGATATTGGGGTTTTGTATGTATGTTTTCATTTGTTTCCAGGATATTTTTTTTTTTAAATTTCTTCCTTGATCTTTTTGGAACCCATTAATTGTTTAATAACATGCTATTTAGCCTCCATGTGTTTGAATGTTTTTCAGTATTTTTATTATAGGTTTCTAATTTCATGCCATTGTGAAGATCCTTTATATAATTTCAATCTTCTTAAACTTGTAGAGACTTAGTTTGTGTCCTAACATGTAATCTGTGT